CACAAACATGTTTGTACATATACCTACAGATCACCTATACGCATGCCTGCCTATGCACATACATGCATGCATATATACATGTGTAAGCACACACATAAAAGAAGCTTGGAAGTCCAGTGATTAAGTTTTCAGTTGCTAACCAGTTAATAGTTCAAACCCACCAGCTGCTCTGTGGGAAGCTGAGAACCAGGAAAGAGTGTATGCAGACAAATTCTCTATGCTCATATTTTAAGGAGTCTGAGAGGCCTAGACTCTTGTGGAGGGAGCCTTTCATGGCCGTGTGTTGGAGATGTATCCCAGTCATATTCTCCTAACTAACGTTATTCTCCATGATATCCCCCTGTAACAATGTTTGCAAGCACGTGGTTGCTTACTATGTTCTCGAAGGTTAACTGCTGAGGGCTGTCTGCCTGAAGATTATCTGCCATCAAAAGCAATCAGACCATCTAACCTTAAGTATGGCCCACTCCCTTCTGAGAAGAATCATAGATTGTTCCCCCGGGAGAAGAGCTCAGGAACACCTAACCTCAAGCCAGCTCAGGGGCATGCCCGAGATTATGTAAGCTTGTTATGAGAATACATTGCCCTCTCTCTGGTTCCAGCCATCATGGAAGAGGTGAGCACCTGCATGTCTTGTCTGGTGTTTCTTCAATTTACGCTTCAATTACAGAACTGCCCCTTGGAGCCACTCTGTTGTGGAGGCTGCTCCCCACACTGCTCATGAGAGAGGCTAGTCTGCCTCAATAAAGATCACAGCCGGGGAAACCTGATAGGGACGTTCTCCTCTGAGCCACAAACAATGACAATGGACTTGATGTGAATTAAACACATACGCATTGTTGGTTATCGTTGCTGTAAAATGGCGTATGTCATGGCATCTGCTAAAGATGCCCCTTCTTCTCTGTACTTCTTAGTGTCATCCTTTACCTTGGTCACATTGTGCAGACTTCACCCACATTCAGTATTGCCTTCCCCATTACCAAAAATGACAAGTGTCAACTACCTAGAAAGTGATTCCCTTTCTCTCCCTATCCTATCTCTGGTAACAGCCAAAAAATATTGATTTTATATGTATGCCAATTCCTCTCTTTTTATACCAGTGAGATCACACACTATTTGTCCTTTGGTTAGTCCACTTAGCATAGTGTCCTCCAGATGCATCCATGCTAGAAGATGTTTTATCAACTCATCATTATTCTTTACAGTTATGTAGCATTTCGTAATGTGTGGGGTAAGTCACACACAATGAGTAAGTCAAAAAGTATTGCTACTGGGGTTCTAGTTCATACAAGCAAAACATGTCTTGTATGTCTTATTACAAGCAAAACATGTCTTATTACAAGCAAAACATGTCTCTGCAATCAGTTAGTGGTAGAGACAAATAATATACTTATCTTACTCTTAATACACGTCTCTAACTAGGGTACCTTAAAAAAGAAGGCCAATCAAAATAGTGGTCTCTGGCGGGGAATCTACAGGACCAGTTAAACTCAAGGAAGAGTGGTTGGTTTAGAAGATTATGGAGGGTTTTTGGTGGTTTTTTTTTTTGTATCCCAAAGGTATGATCTTGATAGACTATCTTGAAGGGCACAGGACGACCATATGGGCTTATTACAAAGAAGTTTTAAGAACATTTAAAACCGCATTGGTGGGAAAAGGCCAAGAAAGTTGTACCTAAAAATGTTTTCCCATCATGACAGTGCACCTGCTCATTCGCAGAGGGCTTACAAGAATTTCATTGGGAAAACTGACCCCATCAACACTACAGCCCTGATTCTGCCCTTTCCGTTTTTTCGTTCCCCAAACTCGAAGAACACTTTAAAGGAACGTGGTTTCAGTCCTTCAAGATTGACAAAACTATCATCTTTGAAATGGGGAAACTGAAGAGCACAGAATTCTCACCCACTGGCAGCAAGTCGGTGCCAATGCATAGAGCTGCTATAGGACAGGGTAGAGCTGACCCCGTGAGTTTCTGAGACTAACTACAGGAGTAGAAAACCCTGCTATTTCTCCCTCCATGCGGCTGGTGGTTTTGAACTGCTGACCTTACAGTTGACAGCCCAATGCATTACCAATAGTCCACCAGAGCTCCTAGGGAGTGTAAGAGAGATGGAAATACTGCCTTCAGACATATATAGGCCTAGATGGAAGATATCTTGAGAAACACTGATTTCACATTTTGATGCTTTTGTTTAATAAAGGTTTTGTATCAATATGATTTCATACCAATACTTTTTGACTTGCCCTCATCTGTGCCACAATTTGCTTATCTGTTCACGTATTGATGATCACTTAGGTTGTTTCCATCTTTTTGCTGTGGTGTCTCAGACAACGTTGTGTTTCCAACCCCAAAGCACAATAGAAATTGTATATCCAAATGCTGGGACTAGACGAGGCCACAGGAGCCGGGTTGGTGGGCAGAAGGTTGTCCTGGGCAGGTGAAAGCATGCCTGCAACCTTCAAGAGCAGCTAGGGTGTGCTTCCTCCGCCTCCCCACCACCCACCTTCTCCCTGCCCTCCCAGAGGCCTCACTCTGCTGCCATCGTTCACCATTGTTCAGCCTGCGGGCAGAGCTCACCTCCAACCACTCACCACCAGCGTTGCAGGCGACTAGTATCGCGGGGTCCTTTTAGTTCAGACTTTTACACCTGCCATTTGATGAACCCACCTGGAGGGACTCCACCGGTGACCCAGGAGTCCTGAAGTTGCATTTTCTCCTGACTTTCATAAGGACCAAACAGAAGCCCATCCCTCTCCTGTCGGAGGTAATAAGATCCTTCCAGGTCACGAAGCACGGGGAGCTCTCGTTTCAGAGCTTTCACTTCAGGGATAGTTGAGGTAACAACATACTGGTGTTGAACCGGAACGAGAGGATGCTCCAGTCCAATCATTTTACCAACTTCACGAGCCCAAAACCCTGGAACACAAAGGTATTTCTAAATGGCATCATATATAGACATCGCACATCTAACAAAGGTATAACAATGTACTGTGAAATAAAAGTATTTGGGAAAAGCCTGAGTATGCATGGAAACATCTAAAGAATGGCATAACAAATTTTAAATATTTTGCTCTTGTAAAATCGGGTAGGGGAAAAGAAAAGAATATATTACAATGAAAACAGGGGTGTCACCGAATTGTAAAAATGTTGAAATGGTAATGTTTTATATATATATATATATATATATATATACATACATACACATAAACACCCACACGAGCCCTCATGGCCTTGTGGACTGTTAATTGGATTACTAATCACAAGGTCTGCAGTTCGAACCCACCAGCCACAGGAGAAAGATGAGGCTTTTCTTCCCTGAAGATTTACACCCTCAGAAACCCACAGGGGTGGTTTGACTGCCTAGAGGGTTGCTACGAGTTAGAATCAATTCGATAGCAATGAGTTTGGTTTTAGAATATAAGAGGGAGCTTCAAAAAGTTCCTCAAAATGTGA